GTATTTTATAAAAAAAAATTGGGGTCGGCTCAATTAGTTTTCTTATTTCATTCTCATCTATCATTCATCTTACTTCTTTTCTAGCCATATCCTCTTTTACGCAGTCCATCTATCTTTTGTTTGGTCGTCCATTACTCTTGTTTCTATTAACTTTCATTCATAAACTTTCTTAACCACTGCAGTGACTAGTACCTAATAACTGTAAAAAAACAACGAACTTCAATGCACCTACATCGTGACGAATTGTCATGAACAAAATTTTTCTTTTCTTAATTTTCACCTTTAGTGGTGGAATCTTTCTTCAAATTTGAATGGAAAAAAACGGGAAGCATACAAAAAAATCAAAATTGGTTCATTATTGACGGAGTTTCGAGGTAGCAGGCATTAACGGAAAAACAGGTGATTTGAGAAATTCAATTTTTTTTGGAGTCGGTTAAAAACGAAAACAGCACAGTGTCACACATGACGCATTATATTTTTTTTTTTTTTTTTGGGACTAATGCCACCCACACGCCCACCACTGTAACTCCTGTACACCAGGATCCACAGCAGTGACCCACGAACACACCGAGTTATGACACTCGGGAAGTCCCAGGAAGAAATTAAACTGTCTTAGAGCCCGCAACGAAATTAATCAGAAGAAAATTGGAGGAGTTGGAAATACAGTAAATCCACTTCCCTCCTTAGCAAAGCGGGAGACAAAATGAAGTAAAATAGGCATTATATTATTAATTATATCAGATATTCGTATTTAACAGACAACTTCTAAAACAGGATTTACGTATGTTATCCCGTTTCTCATATTACATAAATCCGGAGTCTTAGAGGGACTTATATATTATCTCGGATTACGATCAACGCGGATTAAGTTATTTAAGTCAGTCCTGAATCTGGCTCTGTGCTTCTATTAGAGTTATAATGAAGCTTGCAACTGAAAGTTACGTTAACTACAAGCCTTAACCGAAGTGTAATGGAAGCACTCCACTTAAACGCCCTTTATCTTTTCATGCTTTTATTCCATCTAGGACAGGGGTTTCCAAACTTATTTTGTCTACTGCCCACTTTGAGAAAAATTATATTTTAGCGCCCCCATTTTTTAACCTACTAAAAACCACTATAACTTCAAAGAAAAATAATTAATTATTGTAAGCTATATTAGCGGAGATTAAACATTCATTCTAAGCGAGACTTTTACTATGACCCGCAAGAGTTAACTTGAGACCTGAACGTAGTAGGTAGTACACAACGGCGCTCAGGTCTCAAGTTGACTCTTACGGGCTACACCTGCCAATGAGAATGGTTATTGAACCGCAACTTTATAGTATTCAGACAGTGTATCTTTCATTCAAAATAAAACAAACATAATCGATTCTTATATTAAAACTAATGTGAAGGATGAATCTGATGCTGTTTAATAAGTGTGTTGATATCAAGTTCCAATTTACTCAAGAACAGCCGCAAGTCACCACGTTCGGTAACATGCAAACGATTTCTCTTTTTAATAAGCAGCGTTGAAACAGCACTAAATCCACGTTCACACAAATATGACGATGGGAATGCTATCAAGCATCGTTGAACGATTGTCCACATTCCAGAGTACAATTGCAGGATCGGCTTTTGTAACTAAAATGCTTGGTAGCTATTTTTGAACTTGATTTTTATTTCCTCGTTTGTTGTCAATTCTATAAGTTCTTCTTCCACCTGAGGTGACATTGTTGTGTTAACATTTGAAAACGGATCCGACACCCAGTCTGGTATTTCCAAGTTCATAATGTCCTGGTATCGTTCGGAGAAGGTTTTCCAAATGTTGGCAGTAGGCAAACAAGTCGTCGTTACTGCAGGATACTGATAAATTCGTTAAATTATGAAACTCACGTCTGCCCATATTCTTTTTGTGTACAAGCAGTTTGGCTGCGAAAGTACGAGTAGTAATGACTTTTTTTGTTTTAATTAAATTTAGTTCATCGCCTTGCAGTTGGAGATTCATGTCGTTGAACAATTTATATAGGTCTGTCATGTAAGCTATATCATTCTTTGATGTAATGAGCTTGTTGAATTCTGTATCTTTAGTTTTCAAGAACTCACACTCACACAGAGTCAAACAGGTTGTAAAATCGAGTAAGATAATTACCTCTTGATAGCCAACGAACTTCAGTATAAAACAACAAACGGTTGAAATCTTCGTCATTAGTAACACAAAGCTGATGAAATAATCTATCATTCAAAGACCTGTTACGGATTTTATTGACTTCTTTGATGACATATTGCAGTGATTGAAATAGTCGTTCAATAAGTTTCTAGCAACCAATTGTTGTCTATAAATAAGGCAATTTACAGCAAGGACATCTGGAATATTATTTTTTAAGTACACTATGAAGTCTTTATGACACCCTGTCATAGCCGGAGCTCTATCCGTAGCAACTGATATATATTATATTTTTTAAGGAAATCTCTTTCTCATCGCACTGTTTTTCCAAAGTATTGAATATGGTTTCGCCTTTTGTATCGGTCTCTAAATTTCTAGCAAACAATAGGTCTTCACATTTTTTATCATCTTTAATAAACCTTACGTAAGACAGCAACAATGCTTCATTAGTTGGTAAAGTGGACTCATCGAACTGAATTGAGAATTGACTAGTCCTTTAGATGATTGCACAATGATCCTTCAATGTTTTCAGCCATTTCATCAATTCGTCTTTGCACAGAATTATTACCTTATTTTTCGGATAATATCTGCGGCCGGTTTATGAAGCACAGTAGTTATTACTTCCTTTATTGCTGGCAAAATTAACTCTTCTCCGATGTTGCGTGGTTTGCCTTTTTAAGCAATTAACAAAAAGATATTGTACGATGTTCGAAGTCCGTCGTAATTTTGCTTAGCAGCTGCCAAAAATAGTTTTGCTTCTTCTCTAGGTCTTGAAAATATGCTTCATTCTTGTCTTTCTTATCTTGAAGGCTTCATTGCTTCGTTCGAAAATGTTTTTAGACATAGAAGGCACAAAGGCGACGATGGGTTTGTGAGATTTTTAATGAATCCGAATTTAATATATTCCGCACAGTATTGCCGTCTCTTCTTTTTTACTTCCGACATTGGTTTGTTTTGAGAAATACGTAAGTAAGTGTTGAACTTAAGCACTGCTTATTTATTACGTGAGAAACCGCAAATGAAAATAAATTAAATATTACGTTGTTTATATAGGATTGTATAAGCAGCACGCACCGACAGGAATAAGATAAACATGCATAAACTCGTTTATCTCATTCGACGCTCAATCGTACTCAACAAGTAAGGACAAGTATTCTATGAACCAGCTGATTCATAAAGGAATGCATAAATCGGGTTATTTAACAAAAACTTGTTAAAACATGATTGCCCGCGGTCTATTTTCTACTAAAATTAACTTTCTAGGAATACTGTTAAATAACTATGATAATGCAAAAGTGTGTCTGTTGCCTTTTTATTTGTTTGTTTGTGTCTACTTTCATTTCGAAACGGAGCGACCGATTGACATGATTTTTATTTTATTTATTCAATAAAACAGGATAGATATATGAACTACGCGGAGAGAAATATGGAACCGAGTTTGAGCAATCTTTTAATTAATATTAGTTGATGCTCACAAGTTGTCGTCGAGAGTCGAGATCTCAGTCGCTGTCTAAGAGTTCTCCTAGCTAGATGAAATTACAAATCGCCCCTCAAACCCAAACGAGGCCTTTTCTAGGCCCACATTTTTGTTCTGGGTCTCTTACCTCCCCCCTTTAATATAAGGATATAATGGGTGAATGTAGGCCATAGAACACTAGTCTCGAATGAAGGAGTCAGCTTGATACGTACTGAGGATAAGAATTTTTGAGAAAAGATACCTGGATAGGCATTTTTCTTTTTTAACCTTCGTTAGGGTAAATGTGGGATAAATGTAAGTCGGGGATAAATGTAATCGGGGTATCAAATCAAATTTTCTAATAAATAAAGCGTTTGTTTACCATAAGTGGTTATCATGTACGTCTTAAGCTGCAATAAAATAGTTCACTTGCTGTAAAGAAGTGTCTTAATAGAACAGACAATAACGCACAAAGAATTAGGTAATTTTAAAGAAATGAGAAGCTCTCATACACGAACCTTGGGTTGTTTAAGGTACCTAATACGATTAGCTACCAAACCTTTTTATCCTTGCATCAAAACTTCAGAAACAGAAATGCAGGTCTACGCTTAATAATGCTTTTTAATATTAAAAAATATAGTACAGATAAAAAAACAGATACATGTATTTAAATATACATGCATCTGGCACACAGAAAACGCGGCTTTATATCAAAAATCATTAATTACTTACCTACCTTTCAGGCATTCTTACCTTTTATTTATTCTAATAACAAGGGGTTATATTATTGTTATAGGAATTGCTTTAATTTTTTGATCACAAATACCACAATCTTCTCTCGGCGGTTGGGCGGCGGGTTTATTGTGCAGAAATTTGCTAAGAACTAACTGTTCGTAAATGTATACGAGTACCTAATACGTTTTTTGTAGAGCCTTAAATAATAGTATCAATAGATATTTTAGATCCTAATTTTTGTATTGTTGTTTTATTATATCATTGGATAGATTACCAAAAAATAACTTCAACTTCAGATCACACAAATGTATAAAACATATGCGCCCCAGTTGTAAATAAAGTTAAAAAATGAAATACATCTAATTAAAGAGTATTGTGCTAGATGTGAGCCCAAAAAGTGATTTGATTCACCCTCGCTGAAAGTGCAGGTCTGCCCGTATTCCGGGGGCGGGGTGTAACAAGTGTCGGGCGCTGGGGACATGTGCGGCGCCCCCGCTCATTCATTCACTCGTTTGCCGCCACATTGCGAGTCCGACGGTCGCGCGAACAACGTTGCTTCACGCGTGTACTCCTCCAAGCGCGTCCGTAAAATTTCGCGCGAGTTTGAAATTTAAAAAATGCACAGAGATTAAGTTAAGGTCGTTTCCTTTTTTTTTTTGTAAAATGGGCGAGCAAGCGTTTAATATTTCGGATGAAAATTTAGAACAGCATATTGTTACTTTATTTGAAAAATTGGAGTGTTTACGGAAGGATGCGAACTCGCACTGTGACGGGGGTCTGTCAGGCAGAGTTCCGGCGAGGTTGGAGTTACGGACTTTGTCTTTGTGGAAAGCAGTGGTAGCGGAGTGCGCGGCTTCTTTTCTTTATGTGTTCATCGTTTGCGGTGCGGCAGGCGGAGCGGGCGTAGGAGCGTCCGCTTCAGCTGTGCTCCTCTCAACCGCACTAGCTTCCGGTTGTGCTATTGCAACGCTGACTATGTGTTTTGCTAATATATCTGGTAAGCCAACTTAAGAACTCATTTTATTCCCAGTTATGAACACCAAAATGAGAATATTTCATTTGTTGTAAATCAACCTCGGAGAGCATAAACAGAAGAGAGAAAAACGTATTTGATGAATGTATAAATAAATATTTTATTGAATTTGACAAATATAAACTATTTTAATGTGTAAGTCGCTAACGGTATGTTCATAAAAACATTGAGTCGCATACTACTTAAAGATAACAATTAATGTTGCCAATATAATGGTACAGGTGTTCCTAAAATAGCACTTAGGTAAGAAAGAGGAAATAATGAGAACCTGCTATTACCCTAGAACTTTGAAATTACTAGTCATGAAGAATGCGCAACCGTAACCGGCAAAAGAAAAAAAAATGCCCACGTGTGCGAACGTTGTTATTTTAACTTATAATGTTTAATGTGCTGTGGGATGCGGCTCGTGGGACCAGGGCAAGGTCATTTGCATTTTTATACCCTTTTCTCAACCTGATTTAAACGTAGAACACAGCTCCGACGTTGTAACAAGGATACCAATTCTGTTAATTTGTATTGCAGATGATACTGCTATGCAAATTTTGTCCTGCCTTTTAAGTTATTTAACATCTAAAGGACATAAAAACAGGAAGCTCTGATAGATAATATCACAGACCGATTAAATGCAAGACTTTACGTTTATACTTAGTCCGAAGATTTTACGACTACCTAAAATAGGAAATGTTATGAACTTAAAACCTCTATTGTGTAAACTTATGTAGGGACATTTTACAGTATTATGCAAATGTATTAAAAAAAAGTACTGATAGGATTTGTTAGGGTTTGTTTTCATACAATCTATTGAAAGTACACAATATTTTATGTACCTTCTCTGGAGTTTATAGATATAACATTTCTTTTATGTAGGTACACGATTGAACTCGGTTTTACGAGCACTGAAAAAAATATTGTAGCAAGACTAGCTTTCGTGTTTGATATATTCTCATACCAACTTGGTATGTACATACATAAATAATTTTTATACATTCAATATACCTAATCTTGTAGCACAGCAGTCTTTGAATTTTCTTATATGACACATTTGGTCGACGTACCTATCGATAGATAGAAAATTACTTCCCCTGACTGCACGGATGGCTTAGTGGTTTAACGGACGACACTTTTTCTGATGCACAAATTGTTGTTCTGAGTCTGGTTATTCTTTGTTTCCTTTTCATGTATGTTTGTAAAGTAGCCCGCGACACAGGATACATTCCTAATGTGAGTTGTCTTTATTTAAAAGAAAATAAAGATTCATCAACACAGGGCCTAAACCGTTGGGGCGCCAAACTTCAAATTTTGACAGCTTTTGCTTTTTATGTTGCACCCATTAAGAAAGGATTTTTGGAAAGTTCATCTCCAAAGAGAGTAAAATAAAGGATGAACGGCTGTATGGCAGTTCTTTGTTTTAAAGTTAGAAATACGAATAAAATTTTGCTAGAATAGTTTAGAATAAACACGTAAACTGCTAATAAATCTACCTGTTCTTTATAAGTTATTGTTTATTGTTAGGGTCAGAAAGTTCCCTTGTTTATAGGCTCGAATTAACCCCGCATCGTTGAGTAATTTATATCCATTTGATAAAGTGGCAGAGCCATCGGATACACTCGGGATGAGTTACCGTCCACGCCCGCAACCTGCAGATGTTCACAATTAACCGCTTTTTTTATGGTATCGGCGGCTGCAAGGCGAAACTTTTACTTTTTTTTTGTTGTGTCAGAAATGTGGCAGTGTTATTAACCCATACGAGACTAATATAATATAAATATTTTAGTTATCTAACTGTTCTTCATATAAACGACCATTTTATTTTAAGCTTTGCTGGTAATTGGATTTATATGATTTCAATACACAAGAAACCTACATAAGTACTTGAACAACAAACAAAAGGTTCTTTCGGTATTCACAATAAAATGATCTATGAATACAAGTTGATGCGACTTTCAATAAACACAACATTAGGCGGGATTATTATAAGCTAACACGTGCACCCTTTACCATCCGTCCCCTAGTTATAAGTTTATAATGGCGATCACATGATGCCAGGACAATGACATTTAAATTATATCATAACAATAACGCAGAGAAAGGTCGGCTCTCTTACAATCAGGCACTAATTTTGAACTTACAATGTTGGCGAGTTACCGTGAACAATTTTTAAAATTCAACCCCGACGCGACGCCCTAATTGTCACTAATGGCTGGACAAGTGGATATTCCTATTTCGAGTACGGACTAATGTTAAGCTTTAACGTATGCAAAATAATAATGGAGGCAGGCTATATATTTATTTAAAAAAAAAGATCAGTAGACTGTCTGAATGTCAAAGTACTGTTGTTTTGTGAGCCACAGGCAGCATTGTCGAAAATCCTTTTCACGTTCTTATTACAACGTACATTTTGTTTTATTTTTGCTTGTTTTATTCCCATGCTTGATGGCATATTCATTTATCAATGCGTAGTCAGGAAGTTGACTGCCTGTAGTTGTATTGTTAATGGAGCTTCCTTTGTAACTTGTCTACCGGTTTTAAAACATTACGATAATTTGTCTGCTTCAAGATTTTGAATAAAAACGGAGCAAAGCACATGTCTTTTAAGGCTGTACTTAAACAGCCTGAATGAGTTATAGTGTCTTTGCTGTTTCTTCTGGCAAGAAGAAACACGGATTAAAAATCATTCGTTATTTCGTCTCGCATTCTTTACCAACCAATGCTCTTCTATTTAGAACAAAGAAATGCATAATTAATGAAGTGCTAATTGTTCTCAGAGCTAGGGATTATCGTGTGTCCCGTGGGAGGTCGATTACTAATCGGTCAGGTTCGAATATATGTAGGTTTTGCATCTTATCATATTAGTTACACACACTATAGATATATCTTGCTGCAGTGTTAACCCTGTACCCACTTTTTCCAGTAAACTTAAACAAGGCTGAGGCTTAAAATGTTTTGTTGCCGACAAGTTTCTAAAAAAGTTGAATTTATGTTATTGCTCTTTTAAAAACAGTTCAAGTTTTTAAATTTATCCCGCAAGGTAGCAAAACAAGATACCCCAAGGCTGCGCAATATATCTCCGGTATTCTATATAATCCCGGGACGCAGGTAAATATCTGTGTTGCCATTATCGGATAGCTACTGTTGATTTCATCTTCTAGTCACGAGACCGTATATGCAACACGAATACTAAGATAAACCCGTATTATGTTGCGATGGAATTTGTTATTCAGTTCGGAAACCCGAACATGGTTGAGATAGAATTTATCAAAATAATATTTTGAATATGGGACAATCATAGCGTACTTAGTGAGCGTTGTAACAGCGGGAGTGTGAGCGAGTGGGAAATAATTTTGGCTTTAAGGGGTTCCAATTGGTCTAGATACAAACTATACTAGATTTTTTTATTGCAGAAGATTGGCCTTAAAACCATCCAAATGCACAAAACCATCTAAAATACAAAGAATATTAAGTATCAAAGAAAAGTTACTAACGAACGACCGGGAATACTAAAAAAAAGTATATAATCATGAAAGTATTGCTTAAAATTTCGTATTTCTGTAAGATTCTGTATCTGTGCTTGTAATATATTGACATAGAGCGATAGGGCCGCCGATTGTATACACCTCCGTAGTTATACATTTTACTCTGTGTTTTTTAGGTGTAAGCACAAAAAAAGGCGGGTATCTTGTTAAATAAATGCATTCTTTGTTCTTTGAACGTAACAAGGAGCAAAAAAGTCTATTACCTAAATGCATAAGAGATGTTTTATATCTTTACTATATCGTTTCAATTTTGCAAAAAGCAAAAAAAAAATGTTAAAGGAATAAATATGTTAATTATTACAATTAAAAGATTAAAGTATTTACCAGCGCAACAGTAAAGTAAGAAAACTTAATTAGGTATTTCTATAAAGATGACGGTTTAACTATGAAACTAAAAAAAGTACTCATTACTAAAACTTTTTTTATTGAAAAGATAGATCAAAGTTGAAATATTCAATGAGGGTGTTATCGTTGCCTTCTTTTTAACATAAATATATTATACTTCACGAATCTATTTATACGATATCTATTAAACATAAGAACATTAAGTGTTATCTAAATTCAGTAGATAGTCTATAGGTATAGAAATTTGAAATAATTTATATTGTTTGTCGTATTGTTAAATGTTCTAGATGCAATGATATTTTAAGGTACGTTATAGTCATACTGCACGCACAAAATAATTATTCCATAACATTATACATACATCTATTAATGCATTTTAGACCAAAACATACACTTACTTGTGGTATGATATTCCTTTATACCTATTTACCTTTTTATCGTAATTTGTGCACTTTCGGAATACACAGGAATTTTCTCGAATTAATTTTATGAATTTTCTCGAATTAATTGCTCGCCCGCAGTGGTCCTAATTAGGACCCACGCTGTGGGTGGCGTATCTACATCTTGTTTGTAAATAATATCATTGTATAGATGAATATAAAACTAGTTAACCCTTCTAAATTAATGGCTGGTATTAGAAATCGCTTTACACAGATAGTAGGTGCGTGACATGCACATAGGCGTTAGGATATCACCGCCTTCAAAAGTCATCACGGTGAAGTCAAGCAAACTAAGTTAAACTAGCCAGGATAGGTACCTTACTACTTAATTACCGTATATTTTTATGCATTGACTTGCCGATCCTCCCAAGCGTTCCATCCGAAACCAATATGGATAAGACAACAGTTATTTTATACTAACCGATCTCAAGATAAAACAGGTTTTATATTGACCTGTCTGTTTCTTTAGGTTTTATCATATAAGGGATAATTGTAAAGCTTGCCAGTACGACTGGCATACTCACACATCAATAGATATAAGTATATTATTAAATATAGTTACCACGAAATCTATACATTTAAAATAACTTCCTAGTTAGTCAGGGACTTGATTCATCATCGCTTAGCCTACATCGCTGGGACTAAAAACTAGAAATTTTGGCAACCAGATTGCTGATAAACATCCATATATATTTTTAAATACATACATATTATAGATAAATTACAGCCAGACACAGAACAAATGATCGTCGACCAAAAGTCCCGGACCAATATATGTGTGTAAATTATAAAATTAGAGCACATGTGATATGTTATTGTAAACCTCGTCGATTCATGTTTAATTGCTGAAACGAGAAATCGAATACAGCATTATTCAAAATTAAAGTCTATGCGCAATATGCTAAACTAGCTGACTCGCGCAACTTCGTCTGCGTCTCTCAATAGTAATAAATTTTCTCCGTTTTTGAAACATTCTTCAATGGTGCTCCGCTCCTATTGGTCTTAGCGTGATGATATATAGCCTATAGCCTTCCTCGATAAATGGGCTATCTAACACTGAAAGAATTTTTCAAATCGGACCAGTAGTTCCTGAGATTAGCGCGTTCAAACAAACAAACAAACAATCAAACAAACAAACTCTTCAGCTTTATAATATTAGTATAGATTATGGCTATTATTATATTACTTTGGCAACAATGCGATGATATTACGGTATTTTTCCCAACATTAAAAAATAACCCCTACCAAACGGCTCTTAATTTTGGCGATGACTTTCGAGATTCCTTGTTTGTGGCAAAAGGAAAGGAGGTTGTATGAAATTTAGAGGTTGGACAACTTACGTATTAATAGAATAATGGGAAAGTGGTTCTAATTACCAAAGATTCGTGCCGAACGCATACAATCATACAACATTGCAAGTTAAATAAAAGCTTGTAAAAAGTATTTTTCTCATATCCTGTAAATTGTTATACCTTTAATATAAAGGTATATGACTAAGCAAAATTTTATTTTACAGGTGCTCATGTAAATCCAGCAGTGTCAGCAGCGTTGTGTGTGCGTAGACGCGTGTCTCCGTTGCGTGCGGCGTTGTACGTCGCCGCGCAATGTGGCGGTGCGATCGCAGGCGCAGCCGCTTTATATGGGTAAGTGCCTTTAAAAGTGTTGTAGAATTATATAGATGTAGTGTAAAATAAAGAGACGGATGACGTAGTGGTTTAAGCGGTCGCCACTTTGCTTCCTACTACGCTGAGTGTTGTGGGTTCTTTGTGTGCGTTTCATGTATGTTTTTCAAGTCCCCCGCGACACAAAATATATTCTTAGTGCGGGAGTTGTCTTTTCTAAGAAAAAAAAAAGATTTAAAGAAGGATAAAACAAGAGAAAAGAAGCACGTACTGTGTCCTACCCGTCTTAATAATTTTAGATTGATTTTGTTGTATTTGTATCTACTAAAAAAAATGAAAAATCTAATCTTAAATTCTATTAGCTGAATATGTCTCGAGAACGGCTACTCGCGAGATTATGCTATCCGTGTTCAATAAAAAATAATAAGATTACCAGTTTAGTTTCATTCAAATAATCTAGGTTCATCGAGGCTGGCGGTTTAAATTTTTTGACAGTTTGCTGTTTATAAAAACGAACACTAAAGTGTAAAAAAAAAAGTTGCCAAGAATAAAATTATCTACTAAAATTAAATACAGCTAACTATTTATGTTAATGTTCATAATAATCATTTAACAAATAATGATAATACTATATTTTATCTGCTTTTATATGAGAATAAACCATACAAAAATTGTAAGTCTCATATTTTGAAAGTTGCAATACCACCAAAACACCTAAGCTTTCACCTCTTAATGAAGGAGCAGGTGCAGTTGGGGTCGGCTTAATGGCTGACAAGAGATTATGATAATAATCGGTGTTGCAATATTAATTTACTGACTTAAGAATTAGTACGAATTCCTTACAAAATAGGTATTACTAGCTTTTGCCTTGTTTTACGGGACTGGTCCTAAAGAGGTCATAAACTTTCTCTGTTCTCTTTCGAAAATTTCATCCAAATCTTTTACCTTATTTTTGCCTAAACGAGTAACAAAAATGTATCCATTCTTACAAGCTATAACAGTACATTAACATCTATACTAATATTTAAACAAATATTTGATCGTCCATTCGTTCTATTTGAAGTTCAAGTTGTCCGTTTTGTAATGTTCTATTGTTTTATAAGGTTTATTTACAACGAAAATACATTACATTACCGAAATAACCATCTATTCTATTCCACAAGAGTGTAATAGAATAGATGGATCTCTTGCGGGTCTCTCTTAGCCAATTGAACTAAACGAAAGAAAATACGTACCCCCCCTAGTCATCCCCTAGTCTCCCTAGATCCCCTCAAGTCATATACCTAGCAATTTCTATGTATTTATTTTTTAGCTTTATAAAATGAAATCTTAGCAGACATGAGTACCTACCCGTTCGTTCAGTGGTTTTATTACAAGTTTTTTTTCTGTAAATATATTAATAATTACGATACTTTAAACGGACAGGAGAACAATATATCTTTTTGCAGTTATTTATTGGATGAGATGTGCGATGTTAATGCAATTTAAAATGTACACTGTTCCAGTTAAGTTGTCTTTGTTCATTCGGATTTATGTAAAAGTGAATCAATATATCCATGAAAATAAAATATCTATGAACATGAACAGTAAATATGACTTTGCAAATTGAGCTTCAAAAATGGGCCTTCCGTACCTGGCCAGTGGATTCCAGGAATGAAAGAATGTTATGGTTTCGTAAAAGAATCAACGATTTCATTTTTGTTAATTATATTGTTACTTATAATATAATTATAATTTAATTTATAAATGCGAATGTAAAATATAAATGACAAAACAGCTGTTTTTAACCTCGATTTTTTGCAAGCTATGTGCAGGTCATTGCCATGCCGAAAAAAATAGAAAATTCCGAAAATCACTAAATCGATTGACAACATCAAATGTTACTCGAATGAAGCCTCGGGCAACGGCTAGTTTAATTATTAATCTGGATTTAATCATAGTAAAATTTTTAGTAATTCCCTTATTCTTTCTAAAGTATTTCAAATAGGTTTAATTACACGTTGTGGTCAAGGGTTCTCTCCTGAGAAATTAGCTATGAGAATTTCTTTGAAGTAAAATTTTCGGTACCTACCCGAACGACTCCCCCTTTCCGCTTCACTTGTGATCACGATCGGTGTAGCAAAAGTTATTGAAACGTCTTCTGAATTCAAATTTGAATCTGGCGCCAATGTTTATTATTATTACATGACCAATATTATTATTCTATCGACGTGTTCACTTTCTTATTATAGATTTTTAGAGGATAAAACCATAAACAATAATTCAAAAAGAGAGTTACCGATATCAAAATTTTAATATCTATCTATATTTTCAGATCAAATAAAAAATTTAAGATGGAACTTTGCGAAGAAAAAAGTGATGCCAATTTTTTAAGCATGTGTGCGTAGGCCATCATAATTTATTTTATTGAAAATATTGATTTCTACGCTTACTTATGTGTGAAATGCGATTCCATCTTAGTATCCATTTCTTGTAGTTTGATTTTTACACCCTTTCACAACACAATTCGGCATTTTTACTTGTAAATATTGTTGACTTTTTTTGATGACGTTTTGACTGACGAGTTTCGTTGTTTGTGGGCGTGAAAAAGTGTATGTAGTCGCTACACGTTAAGGCGGAGTTTTAATTGACCTCACTTCTTTGTTCACAGAGTTATATCTGAACTTTTACATTTGATCTGAGTCTATATCCTGACATACGTTATCTTCATTTCTTTTTTAAGCTTTTTATCAATATACACTTTTATCAACGTAAGCTGATATTTATAATTCACAAACAAGATAACCTTCATCATCTATCGAACTTTGGTCAAAGTGATAGAAAGAGGGTTTGACATGTTTGCTTTAAAGTGAAATATTGATACAGTTTCCCAACAAATATAGAGTTTATAATTCTGTTTGCTGCATGCATGCCCAGGTATTTTAAATTTTATACCCAATTGTTATAAAACTTTTGTGGTTTGTTTATGTACATAATAATAAATTTTCATACGTTTATAATAGATACATATTTTGTCCAATTTATGCAATCAACATTCCGAAATAGGAACATCAAAATGGCGTCTACGTAGTAAGTAAATGGTATCACAAAAGCTTTTGAACAATATTGACAGCATGTTACACCTGTCTGTGTAGGAATGTCTATTATTTACTGCCATAGACAACATGAGACTTTACTTCTTCATTGTAGTGTGCGGTACCACAGTTGTAGCTGAAACCAGAAATTTGGAGGATTATGTTAATTATTACATAATTATGTAAGACTAATATTTTTTATATGATAAACAGTCTAGTCTATGAGCTATTCTAGACTGTATTAAAGCCAAATCTCAACCATATCCGTTTAGTGTTTCTGGCGTTATTGAGTAAATAAACAAACTTTTGCATTTACAATAGACCGAACTTTTGCTATTCTATGGACCCAACTAAAACTAAATGTTATTTATTACAGTAGTAGGTATGACTAACTATTAAATAACACTGACGTGAAATATCGAATATAATAAATGCCTCCTACCCTAAAAGCTGTTAACTTGAATAGCAGTTTTCTTAAAAAATAGTGGCATAAAAGACCTTATCTAAAATATCGGAAGGTGCAAACTATGAGTATGATTCAATACTTAGAATGAATGATTGTATAAGGGGTGCGATAGAAACGAGCGCCGATGGATAGTTATTTTTTATTACCTGGTCTGTAGATTTAGATTTTGTTGTGTGGATTGAATGTTTTCAGGGTACAAGAAGTCAATGCTTTGTCTTTTAAATACTTAATAGTAGTTTACCCTTATAAAAAGAATATTCAGTTTTCAGTTCATTCTTATTGAAATACGTTAGTATCACTAACCACTAGACCTTCAGGCCCGTCAATGCCTAATAAGGGTATGTAAATAAGTAGTACTACTAGCTAGAATATTAACAATTTTTTCATTAAATATTCTAGTTGTAAACTAAGACATAAAATATCATATTCTAATTAAACGTCAAGCGTGCTTTCGACATTAAGATGCAGATAACTGGAATTTATTTCAATTTAATGAAAAAATAAATGATTTCGCTACATTAGTGATTCCTCATCACAATGAAAATTGAATCATAAAATAAGGAGCCTAATGGGAGTTTTCTGAACGACTGAAGTTATTGAACTTCGCCCGTCTAGAAGTCACCCATTAGGCTCTCAGTGTTAGATACCTCTTTGTATGACACAAATACTTATAAAATATTTTCTGTGACAGTTCTATCACAAAAGAGGTTTCTCTGTCACACGGACATTTGTCTATGATATTGTGCTGTTGATTGTCCCACGCAATACACCTTGTGATTTATGTACGACACGATGTCGTCATAACAAAAGATTTTTACAATCACTACCCTCTTTTATAAGAAATAGAAAGAATCTTTTTGTAGTGCAACGGATTTTTACCTGGATCCAATTTGCACGGTTCAACAATTCCTTAAGGTTGAAAAAAAGGGGATTGTATTTCAGCCACAGCAAGTGAGGTCACTTTGGTTACTTTGAATGAAATAATATTTTGTGATAATAGTTAGTTTACATTAGAAATGTTAAATCACTCACAAAAAGCATATATTAGCTACATATATAAGAATGAAGAATGAAATAACTAATAAGTAAAGAAAAATCGTGTTCTGTCAAGTACCTAATGTGAAATCCTTCTACTTTATTTTTACCTGATTCACTGCTGGACGAAGTCTGAATGCCATGTCTTTTTAGGCCTAACATTAGTTACCAAACTAATAAAATACTACAGGGCACTGACTATATGGAGGTCTTCTGGGTAACGGCGAAAAAAAAAACAATAAAAAAACTCTTCCAAGTTTCTCAGCGCAGGAATAGCACAAAAAGTTTTGTGATTGTGTACAACCATTATACCTATACATGCCACATACGTCATATACGACACACACATACCTATACATACGTCACTATATACGAAACAACAATTTGTTTGTAAAATTTCTCCTAACGTTGTCTTTATCCTTGCAATGAAAAAAATCCCTCGTAATTTAA